CCTCTGGCTAGCAAGGAACGAAGGAATGGAAAAGACCATGGAAACGACCGTGTAGGGTTTAGGGTCTAGGGAAGGTTGCACGAGCTATTGTCAAGACTCCTAATACCCCCCTAAGAAACCCTAGAATACACCCCTACATAGTCCTCTATATACCCCGCCCGCTTAAGGAGTTTAGACTGTAGCTCAAGTGGAAACTGCCATATTTTGGGAGGTTGCATGAACTTCTGTAAGGATCCATTCCTGCATTTCTTGCCAACCAGACATAAGTCTTTCAACCCCAAACCCCAAAACGCGTCTTTCTCTGTTTTGTGTGCCGGCTGCATCGGGTCGGGCGCTTTTCTCCCAGGCGGCGGTGGCTGCTACTTTGGATGCAAGGAATCCGGCACCCCGTCCATTCAAGAAATGAACTATAGTCTAAACTCCCAGTATCCCCCTTAAGAAGCCCTATAATACTCCCCTACATAGTCCCCAGATTACCCCACTTTAAGAAGTTTAGACTATGGCTCAAATCTCAACTAGGGTATAAGTGTAGGGTTCTGTACTTGAGGGGAGTCTGGATGGAAGCATTTCAAATGCTGCAGGATTTTTCTTGGAGTTTCCCAAACTTAGGAACCCTTTTTGGAAGTCCACTTAGAACATGTTGGGATCTATATTGGGGCCCCCTATTTTCAGAAATCCCCATTGGACTGGTGCAAGACTTCTTCCATCAATCGCGTCGATTTATGCATCGAAAGGGCCCTACGCTTGGCATGGGAGCCGTTCTGTTTGGGCTGTATGCCCTGGTTTAGAGTTTAGGGTTTGGGATTCCGGGGTCAGGGTTCGGAGTTTGGGGCTTATAGCGTTTTGGAGTTAGGAGTTTCTAGAACGCCTAGTAAGCAGCCTGCTATCCCTGCTAGCCATGTGCATGTTCTCTACGCCAGCCTAGACTATCCACAGTGCTTGGGAAACTGTTTTCTCCAGTTTCAAGTTGCCCAAAAGTCCTCATTTCCTCGTCAACGTAGGAAAACCCTTGTCATGAAGGCTAAAAAAATGGGACCTACCACCCGTACCATCAGAGCACCGACTCGAGGTCTTTTGCCCCGCTAATATACCAGACCTGTTAGACTTAGGACTGGGATCTTAGGGCATCCCAAGAATGATTTCGTTCAATTGCAAGCTTTAAGCTTCCTGGCTAACTGGAAAGCTTGGTTCGAGACGTGCTGTGCAACATATGGAGCACATTCGCATGAAATGGGGGGCTGATGTCTACGTTGCTGCTGGAGGTCCCAATATGACTGTTCAAAGTTTTGTAACCTTGCCCTCTCGTCACCCCCTCAGCCAGACGCATCATGGCCCGTCCGAATTATCTGGAAGAGTCCCATGATGTTGTTCCTGGGCAGTTCACTTGAACCGACGGTGTTTCCGAGTTGGGGCGCATTTAGAGTTTGCAGCGTTTCGCTATGTTCAGGGATACATTACGGCGCATGCTCCAAAATCCTGTGTAATCCTGTACCTTATCCTTGGGATTATTCTAGTATGCCAAGCTCATGCAAGCTCTTACTGACAACAACAGCCCTAAACCCTAAACCCTAAGCCCCAAACCCTGAACCCTAAAGTATGGTTGCGAACCTGCAAAGCTCTCAACCCTTCTCAAAAAAACTTTGGAAGCAGAGTATTCGGGCGTGTATATTAGGGTTCCCGTATTTTAGGAAACTACCATTTCTTTACGGCTGCATACTTACCGTCATGCGTAGAGTTGGCCAAGTAATCAAATGCAAAACAAACTGTCTTGTCACTGAGAATTTCATCAGATGATATACGAACCTTTTGAAAAAGACATGGCGCCCCCCCCCCCCCGGCCCGCCCGCCCGTTTTCGGTGGTTCAAACGCAGCAAACAGAAAAAACTCATGAGTCAG